TACAGTGAACTGAACTCTCTCTATCTCACCAAAGTTGAACGCTGCTAGAGCCAGTCCAGAGAAAGTGTGGAACAAGTGCACAACTGTGGCCGGCTGGTAGAACAAGAAACGTCGGTACACCAGAGCACAGGGATAACCTGCAGGACAGAGAAGAAAAAATGTTAATAAAGTATGAGTCTTCATATCAGCTCAGTGAGGCATTGTTGACACCCCCAGATATCAAGGACACTGACCTTGTGGTATAAACACATGGTGCACACACACACAAGTACGTACCATTGGTACGCTTGTGTAGTGTGTGTTGCTACAAATCTGGCATCTCAAGGAGAAAGACAGGACAAACACTCAGCAGTTCAGTTGGACTCGTTCTTGATCACATTGGACTCATTGATATTTAGATACTGATGTAAACATGTTTCTTTAAACTGCTCCATTAAAAATTGAGACGACCAATTCCCTGAACCTTCGTCCTTCCCGGGACTATCTAAAGCTCCATAATGAGTGGATATCAAGGCCCTGCAGCAGATTAGATTCAGCTTAATATAAACAGGTTCTCCATTAGATCTGTAACGTAAAGAAACATTCAAGTAAGAAGTCTCCTTCTGCCTTTACTGGGTTACTTTAAAAGTCATTTTCTATATTTCTGAATGAATTGGTCTCACTAATAAGTATTGTTGGTGAGACCAAAGCCTGATATAGTTTATTCCTCTTTGCCCAACCACTAAACACACTATTGCACTAGAAGTTGACATGTTCCTTCATGATGATGAAAATGGGCACTGTGTTTTATTTTGAGTGCTGCCATTAACATTCACTGGTGCATATTAACACTAGTGTATGGAGCCGCTGTAGGGCATTCATCAACTGAATCAGGTGTGCACAGTCTTGCAAGACACAGCTACATGTAGTTACTACATGGCCACAAAATTATGCAAGACGCATTGAGTAACAGTGGCATGAAAAAGCATGCAACAGTTTTTCTGGCAGACTAAAGCCTGATCTGAGGGTCACGTTCAGCCTATCGCATTGTTGGTGTGAGGCAACACGAGAGAGAAAAACAGACGTGTCCATGTGTCAGACCAAAGTTCAGTGAGGACAGCATGAAGGACGCCCTCCCCCCCGCCCATCCACACAAAGACACATACCCATGCCATTCAGACCCAGTAGTCCTAAAGTAGCACCATGTTTTACAAGCTACAATCAAACACCCTAACCCACAAAAAGTGCATTCTGGCCTTGTTAGACAAATTTAAGCCCCTCAGAGTCTGTGTCCCCTCTACTCAACTGAGTGGAAAAAATGGGAGTTTAAAGGGGGGGGGGTATATTTTGGCAGTCTGTGCTCATTTTCTATGTCAAATCATTTCCCTCCCCCAACAACATTGGCACTATCCTCTTCACCAACGCCGGTCTCATACAAACATGATAATCCAACAGACAATGTCATGTTGGTGGTCTGCTTTGTGTAGCCGTCAAGCTACCTTGAACCCACTTACTAGTGAGTTAGCTAGTCCAACAGAAGGACATTTATAAGGAGAGGAGATTCCGACGGTTGGCATTTAATGACACGACACCAAACGCTACACCACACACGGGCACCCTCAGTCCATTTGTCAACAGCCACAAGTTAACTGATGGTGCAGCAACTTAGCCGTCGGTTGATGGTGTTTTGAAGGAAACGTTGTCTTCTTTAACGTTTCAGGGTGTACGACTTACCGTGAGTGGATTCTCGGGACACGTATTAAGCTAACGTTGCGTGAATTAACACGGTAGGAGACCAACACAACTGGTTTGAAGCCTGTAGCTATGTCTCACAGTGAGAACCTAACTGAGCGTTGTGTTAGCGGTGCGTGTCTCTCCGTTAACAGTTACACCGGAGCACTTAAAACCTGTCACCGGGATTAACGTCATGTCGGCTAGCTACCGGAACGACGTGAGGTGAAACTCACCGATTAAAATAGATAGAAGTAGTCGAACAGCTGGCTCCGGGGATCCTAAGGACTCCGACAGATTCTCCAGCAAGGGAGCCGCCATCTTGCTTGTGGGCGGAAACGTCTCTTCGCGACGGTTCAGTGAACTCTACTGACTCACGGCAGACATTGACGCGCACACACACTCCCGTGTTTTAAAGGCCGTTGGACGGTTCAACCTCCTTCAAAGTTAGACCTGTGATTCTCCTCCCACTTCTCCTCCCCTCCGGTCTATCTTTACGGTTTTTGGAGGCTTAGCTCTGATCGTGGCAACTACCTTTTTCACCCATGTGAAGTCTGCTGTTTTTATAAGCTCAAAACGTCCCAGGGTGGGCCTGGGTCTATCTTTACCACACCTCTCTGGGTACCATGTTCACTAAAGATTGGACTAGTGGGCTGAGAATGATACAAGTGAAGCAAACCAGTAAACTAGTGCAGAGAAGATTAAGCAGATTAACTCATAATAGTGTCAGTGGGCCCTCTTGTGACGACTCGCAGGAACCACATTAACTAAAGGTCCACTACAGACATGCAAAATACTAATCTAATGATTTGTTTACCACAATAAGTGCAGTTACACATCATTGAAATTTGATTCTCATCGCAACACCATACATATGCAAATTGTTTAAATTACATAAATAAAGTTTAACCACTGGACACAAGATCCCACGTCACTGAAAAATCAAGTATATATACTGTATATACTGTTGTAAACGGTATCGATCATGAAAATATAATCAGGTTATAACGGTAGATATCAGTGTAGTTAATGTTAAATATAGATATTTATGAACACTATCAGATCTGAAGTAAAAGTAGTGTTACGGTATTGTCAAAAGTATATTGTACAAAAGTATAAATTGCTATTTTGTGGATGAATATGTTGAATAAAGCATAGTCACAAGTTCTGATGGGTTATAACATGTTAATATCTTAGAAACGAGATAACTGGCTTGAGCTAAATTCAATCACATATGATTGTTTCTATTAAAAAAAGCACAATGTAAAGACGTACTTGTTTGCGTTTCTACTGGTAGTCAACGACTTTTTTTTCCACATTATAGGTGGGCTTCTCATTAAGAGAAACCTGCTAGACAAATATCTAAAGAGCAAATAGAATCCTGCCGTTCAACTAGGAGGCTGGCAGTACTTGTACACTACATACATGCCCTATCTCTACGGTGTCATGTCGGAGACACTCACGGAGAAACAAATTAACAACAATAACAACAAAGCACGAGTATATTATTACGACAAAACATCGCCTCAAACTCCTGAAAATTCAACTTTATACGCGTAAGAACCGTATTGTTTACGGCAGTGCAGGCTGGGTATGCAAAACAGGGTTGTAAATCCACCAATCAGAGAGCTTCAAATGGTGGCCTCTGGCCAGGACGCACAAAGGATTGTGGGACTTTTGTCGTCTCAGCCAATCAAACGGTGGATCGTCATAGCTTGTGCCTCAGATCACACCGTTACCGTATATCATGTTTGTGACGAACGTGGTCAATGTTGCTGTTTTTGTTGTTAGCATTGCAATAAAATAAATGAATGTCGACGAGTCTAAATGGTTTATATTACAGATATTACATCCGCATTTATACTTTTATATTTTATAAGATTAGCTTGGCTTTGATTAATAATAATTTCCTTCAAAGTAAATGTAATATGCCTGATTGTACAGAGGTATTTTAATAAGTTGGATTGGGTTCTCATTTTTGCACAAGTAAAATAAAGAGGTTGTGGTTAAAGATCCTTTACTGAAGTAAAGTCACTCGCCACTTTCAAAACTGCACTTAAAATTGACCTATTTAAATCTGCTTTTAACCTGTGATACTAGTTGTGTATGCTTTTGTTTTGTCTATTACTGTTATAATGTAATCTCTCAGCCTTGTTTGTAATGTTATACATTTTATTGTTTCATGTCTTTACCATGTAAAGTACCTTTGAGTAATTTTTAAAGCACTATACAAATAAAATGTATTATTATTATTGGTAGAATAGATATCCGCACACTAAAATCTATGCAGAGAACACTATATTTTTAGCTTTCGGTCTAAAGGACTTTCATCAGAGCATACGTGGTTCGGCTGGAATGGCAGGTGTAGAAACAAACAAATCACATCCCTATCACTGTATGCAGTACACCTGTGCTCACCTGTGGTAGAGGCCCCGCCTCCTGTTACCTACAGCTTTAAAGTGCTGAATGTAGTATTGAGAGGTTAACTAGTGGATGCCACACTTACACAACACAAAAAGAGGGGTGGAGTACAGTGTATACAGACAAAAACTTCTAAACTACTTCCAGCACCTTATCCTGCATTATCATTATTATTAAAAAGTAATTATTATAGAATATTGGATACATGTAAGTGTATTTTAACATTGTATGTGGAGGCAATCTTAGATACTTTGTATACTACTGGCTAGATTAGTATTGCATATCATATGCTTTCTAATGTAATCAGTAACTAGTATAAGTGTAAAATAAATGCAGCTGAGTATAACATACAATATTTCCCTCTGGAATGTAATGGAGTAAAAGTATGAAGTAGAATAAAATGGATATACTCAAGTGCAGTACAAGTATGAAAAAGTCGACTTAAGTACTGTATTTGAGTATTATGTACTCAAATACTGTATTTCAGTACATGTACTAAAATACTATACTTAAGTACAACTTTTTCATACTTGTACTGCACTTGAGTATATCCATTTTATGCTACTTCATACTTTTACTCCATTACATTTCAGAGGGAGATATTGTATGTTATACTCAGCTGCATTTATTTTACACTTAAAGTTACCAGTTACTGCTTACCTGTATATGTACTCAAATACAGGTATTTGGCATTTAGGCCTGCCTAACTCTAACCCCCGTGACAGTTAGTCCTTGTATGGGAAAGTTGTACACAGAGCACTTGAACGCAGCATGACTGTTGCTCTTCCCCTTCCTCCTCAAATGGAGAGACGCGTTCACGGGCGTGCCTCCATAAACCAATGGAGCTGACAGAGAGGAGGGGTTAACTCTTCCACGTTCATAAATACTCTGAGCTTCTTTTTCACGTCCGCTCTCTTACCCCGGAGAAGATAGACCACGGTACACTGTTGCTAGCAGTTTAATTCTCGGTAAACACCCCCTTAAAAATAAATCGCAATCATGAGCAGGAAATTCTTCGTCGGTGGAAACTGGAAGCTGAACGGCGACAAGAAAAGCCTCGGCGAGCTCGCGCAGACCATGAACGCAGCCAAGGTGGACCCCAATGTCGGTATGTGCAGGTTTGACAGCCGTGACACCAAATTCCATTTTTTTATAATACATTTATAATTGTAGCCACTTGTTTTCTGACTAACGTCACCAAATCCCCAGTTACAATGGCTACATGTTTGTGTCTTTTCCTCATTTAAATGTCACAACTGAATCACTCCCGACTCAAAATGGCTCGGCCATTCAATAATTCAATGACACCATTAACATCACAGACACACATCTGCCTAATGTTATGACCTTTTTTTTTAAGTTGCATTCAGTGTAATCTCTGTATATTTATTCACAGATATTTATCTGAATATTTATTCAGACAGAAATGTATACAATGGCGGATGTTCGGATGGGATTTGCAGTAATGTTGGTGGTGGGGGTGTGTGCGTTTGCAGCGGCACGTAGTCCAGCAGACGGATCTGCCTTGGCTGTGAGAGTGCATGGTGCATTCAAGTGACTGCTCGCTGATGATGTCGCTCGTCTTTCATCTGCAAACCGATGAGAATACAGTAGCCTATTGTGAGCTACGCTTTTCATGTTTAGGCAGTTTATCTCTTCGATTTTTCCTGCATGCCCTGAAGTAGACATTCCTCAAGATTTTTCATTCCGTGCATTATACTCTGCTAGAAATTAAAACAACCCTTAGACGTTGGCTTTGTCGAGGCCTGTTTCCACTGTCACAGAGCCAGTGGTGCGCCTCCTGCAAAGTTGGGTGTTCTGCAACTGTAACGTTGTGTGCTATCACTCTATTCAGGCTACCACGGTTCGGACTGTCCTTGGACCTTGCTCCATTAATGAATCCACTGTTTCAGCACCAGAGAGGGAAACTCGAGCAGACTTTTCCCACTGGCTTCTCTTTAAAGTCAAAGTTCAGCTGTTTCCTTCCCCCAGACAGATTTTCTTCACATGTTTGATATTTAAACTCTGGTTCTTTCCTCTGACCTCTGCAGAATGCGGCCATGTAGGCGACCTTTAGGAGGCTGAACTCTGACCTTTTAATGCAGAGAGATCCAGCCATGGCTGTGGAGAAATGACCTTTACCAAACCAATAATAACGGGTTTAATATAGACTCTGCTCACCCTTAAAGATATAGTTTCATTTTGAATGTCAGTGTGTTGACTTTACTGCACTCTGATTGACTCATGCAGACTGTGCTGCTGTTGAATTTGGTCCAATCATGTTTGCACAAGAGGGCAAATATTTTGTTTGTATCGACATTATCAGATTTTAAAAGTTACACCATTTATTGTGAGGGTTTCATGATGCACTTTTGCATTTGAGTAGCTGTAGTAGTACACAAGTATATTGATGGAGCTTATGGAGTAAGCTTTTAACAGCATGTGAAAGCACTAATAACTTGAGATTTAGGCTCAGTGGTAGCAGGTAGTCCTTTAATCACAGGGCTGGCGGTTCGTATGTATTTACCTGTATATGAGAAGTGTAATAAAGTTAAAGTATCTTTCAGCAAGAACTGGAATCTCCCTCGTATGTGTAGTTAATATCTTCTAACTAACCAAAAGTAAATCCCAAACTACTACTATCGCATCATTGACATCAAGGAAGTTGGTCTAAAATGTCTCGATGTTTTGGTTTTAGGAGTAACTCTCTGCTTAACCGAAGCATTGTTTTCTTCTTCTGCGCTCACAGAGGTAGTGTGCGGTGCTCCTTCAATCTACCTGGACTTCACCAGGACCAAGCTGGACGCCAAGTTTGGGGTTGCTGCTCAGAACTGCTACAAAGTTGCCAAGGGTGCCTTCACTGGGGAGATCAGGTACGCCATGTGTCCGTCAGAGGACAATAACCTGCAGATCAGAATCGGGAATACTTAACTGATCCCTGGGGGGGAAATTGGAATGTATGTATGTATGTATGTATAAAGAAATAATAGAATATCTAAATGTAAATTATAAACATAATGCTACAATAAATAATGCAGAAAATATAAGTAAGAAATGCATGAAATATGTACATTAAACACACAATATTCAACCACAGTGTAAATAAGCGGGATCTATTAAGTGTGTTAAATAGAAGATGTATTAATAAAAAGTATTTCTTGAAATGTACGGCATAAAGATGGATGGATGAAACTACTTCATCACACACTTCATACAAAATCCTCTGGGTTGTTAGGTTTGATCACTAATATAAAATCTTGTTGATGTTTCTTATCACTGTAATGAAACAGTTTTTAGATGGAGGATTTGATTATTTAGTGTTTTATTGTATAAATTTCTGTCTTCAGCCCTGCGATGATCAAGGACTGTGGAGTGAACTGGGTGATCCTGGGACACTCTGAGCGGCGCCACGTCTTCGGTGAGAGTGACGAGGTAATTCTGGAAGACTTTGTCTTCTTCTACTATCACCAGCTTTATTGTCTAATGATGCTCAGTGCTAAATGGGGGGGGGGGGGGAAGGGAAGTCTCATCGATTAGGTCCGATGCACAAAAAAAACACATTTCTCCTGTGTACACTCTGTGATCAGATGCTTGTGTTTTGTGTTAGCTCATTGGTCAGAAGACCGCCCACGCTCTGGAGAGCGGTCTCTGTGTGATCGCCTGCATCGGCGAGAAGCTGGATGAGAGAGAGGGCGGCATCACCGAGAAGGTTGTCTTTGCTCAGACCAAAGTCATCGCAGGTACGCACCAGGGAGTGTAAATGTTGTAACGCACAAGTTTGTGCAAGCTAGAGTGTGGTGGAAATTCAGAGAATTTGAGAAATAGAAATTCAAGTCTTATCACACGTCTCTCTCTCGCAGACAATGTTAAGGACTGGAGCAAGGTCGTGCTTGCTTATGAGCCTGTGTGGGCCATTGGCACCGGCAAGACTGCGTCCCCGCAGCAGGTAAATATACAAGTAACCACTGAAAACGATTACCGCAATTTCTTCACATGACTCGTCATAATGTGCCCGTTTTCCCGCACGATGTCTCAGGCTCAGGAAGTTCATGAGAAACTGAGGGGGTGGATGAAGACCAACGTGTCTGAGGCTGTGGCCAACTCCGTGAGGATCATCTATGGAGGTCAGTCAGTGCAACGAGATTGGTGCCTGTCGTCATGTTCTTCTTTTTGATTTCCCCAGATGACTCTATTCTTCTTCTCAGGCTCTGTGACCGGCGCTACCTGCAAAGAACTTGCCTCCCAAAAGGACGTTGACGGGTTCCTTGTCGGCGGAGCCTCTCTCAAGCCAGAGTTTGTCGAAATCATCAACGCCAAGGCATAAAAAAAAATTTAAAAAAAAAACGTCCAGATCAGAGGCCAACTCTATTCAGACTATTCAGTTCCATCATCCTTCACTCTCAGCACTTGGTCCTCTTCCCCTTTTTATTTTCAAAAGTATTTGTGTAATGATGTCGTTCCCTCCTTTTCTTTTTTGTTTTGAAATGTATTTCGTCATGAAGAGAAAGACGGGTTGACACGTGCACTGTACCGCACTGAAAAGAGTTAAGTCCACTGAGAATAGTCTGTGTGCAAACTAACTTCCACACCAAGTGCTCAAGCTAGAAAGACTTACAATTACACCCTGAGGTGGACGGCCAGTCCGCGCCTTTACTTGAAGAGTTTACCAAATTTTATTGCGTAAACAGTGTCACGGCTCTCTTGTCAATCAGTTGTATTTGTCTTTTAATATCTACGTCTCTTTTGTGTAATAATGATGATCTGTGGCTTTTACCTCCCTGTAGACGTGCATGATCCTCTCGATCGTTGGCTGGTGTTGCCAAGCGGAGAGCCTCCATTTCATGTTAAATCATATTGTGTCATGGCCGATGGGTGCAAGGCTGTAAGGAAACATTATAATAAACCGTTTAGAGACTGTTTCAGTGTGTTGGATTGTTTTTTTTTTTGTGTGTGTGTGTGTGTGTGTGTGTGTGTGTGTGTGTGTGTGTGTGTGTGTGTGTGTGTGTGTGTGTGTGTGTGTGTGTGTGTGTGTGTGTGTGTGTGTGTGTG